ACCACGTCCTGGCCGCCAGGAAATGCTACTGTCCCCGGTACCCTCACCGCCGCTAATTTCCAGGTGTCTCACGGTCCCCTGTCTTCCTGGGCCTGCAGGGACCTGGGACTCATTCGTGCAGCCTTGGATGGAAGTACGTAGCATGAACCTGCTGCCGACCCCTGGCGACAACCCTTCAGACTCCCGTCAGCCATTACTGCTGTGACCTCACTTAGGGGCGGGTCCTCTGGGTCAGATGCCCAAAAGGGTTTAAGAATCCAGGGGTCAGGGAGCGTCAGCCCAGGCAGGGACTCTGAAGAGCACCCGGATGAACGCCTCGCTGTACATGCATGGATGCATGGGCCCCAGAAGGACAGACACAGGAGGTAGGAGCCCCTGGTCACCGGAAGTCTTCCCGCTGAGTGACACTCGTGGGTGATCCCCTTCCTGAGTTGGGGGATGGACTGGCTTTTGTAGACTCTCCCTTCTGGGTCTGAGAGTCCCTGAGCCAAGGCCCCCCACGCAGCCCTTGTCCCTGTGGATGGCAGCTCATTTCCTTCTTCATTCAGTTTGAACACTCCCCATCTGGCTTTGCTTTGGAGCAGTTATTATTTGTAATCAACATCAATTCAGCCCTAATGATGTAACCTGAACACATTGTAGGGTGAAGTCTGGACCACAGCTGCCTCGCAGGGGGACATCCCCAGGTCTGGCTGGCCTCTGACCTCTTCCTACCTCCGTCTGGGCCCATTAGGGGGTAGGGGGTGGGCCTCTGCCCTAAGCCTTTCCCTGTCTTGAGGACCAGCCTGTCAAATCCACCCCTCTGCCAGGCCCAAACGTGCAACTCTTTATCTTTGGAGCCCGACCCAGGGCACCCATACTACCCAGAGAAGCAGAGACAGGGGACCCAGGAGAAGGGAGAAGGAAACAAAAGGCTCTGCTAGTCAATTCCGAGGATGTGGTAAACATACTGAGGAGGGCTGAGCACACACTTCCTGAGCTATGGGAAGACTCAGCTTCTGGAAGGTGGACAGGTCAGAGAGGAGCTGTTGCGTAAATTTACTTGAACATTTACAGCTTTCTCCCAAGGCCACATGTTGAAGCCACTGAACCCAAAGGAGTGAGGGGGCAGTGGTGTTTTAAGGTGCTGTGCCTGATTTGGGGACAAATGTAGAGGGGATGGGCTGGGGAGTCTGGGCCCCTCAAGTTCCACTGGAAAGTGAGGCCAATACCTCCAACAGGGCAAGGGGCCGGCCTGGCCTCTGGGGGTTGGGACATAGAGTGACTGATGCCAGCAACGTGTGGTGTCCTGTGGTGGAGTGACCAGGCCTAGGTGGCAGGCCTGGGTATAAATTTTGCACCCTGGACTTGGACAAAGTGACCTAATTTCTTGGAGCCTCGCCTTCCCTTCTGTGCTCATTGCAGGGAGAGATGAGAAGCATTGTGAGGGGAGGCATGAGGATGCCCCTGGGAGGCTCTGCCCATGGGAGGCTTCAGGCCCCAAAATGCCTCATTGCCACACCCATCTCTTCCCTCAGCGCTGTCCCGGGCCCCATCTCCCAAAGGATGGATCACCTAATACTAACACGGAGTTCACTGTGGGCCCGTCAGACGCTGGCTGCAAAGTCAGAAAGTAGGTTGAAGATCAAAATATTGGCCTGAGAATCTGATTTTTTTTTTTAAAAAGAAAATCCTCAGTTCCTGTTGGATTAGAAATTCTTTTGTTCTCCCTCAGCAGGCCCAGAGCAGCAGAGCCAGAAGGGGAAGTGTTTTTAAAGTCACTCTCTTGCTCAAGATGGCACAGCGGCTCCCCATTGCCAATGGATAGGCATTGAACAGCCACCCGAGCTGAGGTCTGCGGGGTGCTGTGCCAACAGACGCAGCAGAAGCTGCCCTTGGGGCCGACAATCTAGCCATCACAGCTGGGCTTTTCCCAGATAGCCCTCACCATCTGCAGGAGATTTACCAGGGAGGAGGCAGGGCTTGCTATAATGCAGGCTCCTGGGGCCTGCTCTGGGACCTCCTGATCAGACTCTCAGGGGTTGGGACCTTTTAAGCAAGTTCTCCATATGATTCTTATGTACACTGAAGTGTGAGAACCAGCCCCTCAGGACAGTAAATCTAGGGACTGCCCTCTGCCTCCAACATGGGTTTCCACCCCTCACGCAACCCCACCAACCAAGAAGGGAGAATGAGGGAACTAAGGAGTGAGATAAAGTTGTAATGTCCCCCTTGCCTGCAAGGGCAGGCTAAGCCATTCATCCTGTCACACCCAATTTGTTCCAGCCGCCCTTAACATTTGCTGATTACATTCAGGCACATTCCCCCCTGCTCTTCTCTTCCTCATGGCCTCCTGATGTGCATGAAAGTAGTGCCTCTCTTTAGGAACTTAGAACTTACACATTTCCAGAAGCCTGAACAAAGCCTTGCATGCCACCTCTGTCTAATACCCACATAGGCAGGAATCAGTGGTCATGTGGTGGTTTTATACCTGCCTGCACGTGGGAGGAAGTGAGAGAAGGCTATAAAGTAACAATGGCTTCAGCGAGATAGACAGTGAATTCTTTTCCATTTTAAAGAAGTCACGGAGAGGCCATCTGGGGCTTACTGAGTGGCTTTATGCAATCATCCCGTGTCCAGGCTCTTTGAAACTTGCTTCTCCACCAGCTGCATGAGATTCATTATATACTGTCCATTTCATGGTCCTAAATGGCTGCTCTAGCTCCAGCCCTTACAGCCATCTTCCAGGAAGTACAAATGATAAAGAGGAGAAGAAAGAAGAAAGGCTCATCTCTTTGCCTTGGAGAATACTTCCTGGGAGTAGCACATGAACTTTTGCTTTCAGCCCATCAGTCAGAATTTAGTTATGCAGCTATACCTGGCTGCAGAGGAATCTGGGAAATGTAGTCATTATTCCCAGTGGCCATATGTCCAATGAAAAGTCAGACATTGTATGGTAAGGAAAAAGGGGAGAACGTATAATCGGGGCTGCTAGCACTCTGCAGCACCATTGTAGTCTTCCTCAATCTGGGGCATGTTTGCTATGGTGATCCTTACATTTGAATTGATTTATGAATGTATATAATTGCCTTATGTCTAATAAGAATGCAATCAGAGAAAATGTGGAAAAGATAGTAAGAGAATCAGATAATTACAAAGGGAATGAGACTAAAGCATAACTTTTCAGAGACAGGTATATGTAATCACTTTGGATTTGGGAGCAGAGGGGCTTGGAAAGCACCTTTGAAATCTGACATCCTCATAAGGGGAGGAGTGCTCATAGAACATTCTTTCCCTGGTTAAAAATGTCAGGGGTGTCCTCTGTTCTTCCTTTACATTCCTACACTTTGGATCAATGTGCTGTTCCTAAGTCTGACTTCCAACCTCAGCTCATTATTTATCCCGCTGATTTCCTAGGCCCTAGAATCTGCCCCCACCCCCGTTCATTCTGTGCATAGATGGATTCCTCTTCTTGATCAGCTCACCCCTCTGCTCAGAAACCTCCAGGGTTCCCCATACCCTACCAAATATATTCTTAATTTCTTCACCAGGCGCGCGCGCGCGCGCACACACACACACACACACACACACACACACACACACACACTGTAGTTTCATCAAATAAAACCCCTCGCTGTTTCCCTGATTCACCGTGTGTCTTGGCTTCTTTGGGGCTCTGCCTAAGCCGGTCAGCACTGGCCTTCCATATGAGGCTTTGCCTGGTTCCACTGGCTCCTGCCACAGAAAAACATGTCTGGGCTTGCTGATGGAGGATGAGAGACATGTGGAGCAGGGCCACCCTGCAACCCCCAGATTGGCCGTTGTGAGAAGCAGAGCCAGTTCAGATGCCTCAGAGCAGAGGGGGGCCGGCCAGCCCGCAGATCTGTGAGAATAAATGCTTACAGGCTTCTTGTGTGCCCCTGTGATTTTACAACTATTTCTTATGTAATATTTTTGCAGCGATTGTTAACTGATCCACCTGATTATGGACATTCAGTGTGAATACCTGCAGCATTTTCAGTGCGTTTTTTAGAGTACTAGTCCCTTCTACCTTCAGTTAGGATTAGGTGTGGCTATGAACACAGAGACCCAAAGAAACTGTGGCTTAAATAAGATCAGAGTTGATTTCTCTCCCTTATGAAGGTCGAGAAGCAGGTAACCCATCATGGTGAACTGGATGGTGAGCTGGAGAAGTCCGTGTTGCTGAGCACTTGATGCAGCAGAGCAGGGACAGTCCGAGGCCCTGCCTGGGAACTGACAATCGGCCCGAGCTTCTGGCCTAGGCCTCTGTCCAATACGAAGAACAAGCACCATTTCCTAACTTGCCCAACCACCAGAAACATCTTTTCGTGCGCCTGCAGAGTACAAGGATGTGTGCTGGCTGTTTGGTTTGTGCTTTATTTTTTACTTTTATTTTTGGAAAAATTTCAACTATAAACTGTACTAGTCAGGGTTCTCCAGAGAAACTGAACCAATAGGATAGATAGAGTGAGGGAGATTTATTATAAGGGTTTGGCTCACGTGGTTATGGAGACTCAGATGTCCCACAGTCTGCCGTCTGTAAACTGGAGACCCAGGAAAGCTGCTGGTGGAGTTCCATTCCAAACCTGAAGGCCTGAGAACCAGGAGAGCCAGTGATGGAGGTCCCAGGCCAAGTCTGAAGGCCCGAGAACGAGGAGCACTGAGGTCTGAGGACAGGAGAAGTTGGATGTCTCAGCTCAAGCAGGAGAACAAATTTGCCCTTCCTCCACCTCTGTGTTCTACTGGAGCCCTCTGTGGATTGGATGATGCCCACCCGCACTGGGGAGAGTATCTCCTTTACTCTGTCTACCAACTCAAATGCCAACCTCTTCCAGAATCACCCTCACAGACGTCCGGAAATAATGTTTCACCAGCTCTCTGGGCATCCCAGTCATGTTGACACACAAAAGTAGAGAGAATCATATAATGAATCCCCATGTGTCTGTCATTCAATTTCAACAGTGACCATCTCAATGCCAACTTAGTTTCACCTATACTCCTCCCCCAGGAGAGGTAAGAACCTTCCAGACTTTATGTATTTATTAAAATAAATACATAAATAATTTTTAAGTGATCTCTACACCCAACGTGGGGCTCGAACTCAGAACCTGAGATCAAGAGTCGCACGCTCCACCAGCTAGGCCAGTCAGGTGCCTCCCAAACGTCGTTTAATATTATCTGCAAAGCATCTGTAAATACAAGGATGCTGTGTGTAAACATAACCACAATACCATTATCCCATCTGAAAAAACCCAATTCCTTAATATCCTAATATACAATGTCCGCATCTCCCAATCATTTTTATAGTTTATTCTAATCATGTTGCACAAAAGTCTAAATGCTGCATTGGTTGATGTATCCCCTCTGTCTCTATAGGTCGCCCCTCTGTCTCCTTTTTTCTGCCTTATCATTCATTTTTTGAAGAAAAGGGTTGGTTTGTCCTGTAGCATTTCCATGATTTAGATTCTCCTCATTGCATCCAATGGTATCTTTTATTTTTATTTATTTATTTGAGAGAGAGCAAGCATGAGTGGGGGGAGGGGAAGAGGGAAAGGGAGAAGCCGACTCCCCGCTGAGCAGGGAGCCAGGACCCTGAGATCATGACCTGAGCTGAAGGCAGATGCTTAACCCGACTGAGCCACCCAGGCGCCCCCAATGATATCTTTTAATATGTTTCTCACTTTCCTGTGCTTCCTATCAATTGGGAATTAAGATCTAGAAGTTTGATTAGGTTCAGGTTCCATTTTCTGAAAAGACGACTTCATAGCGGGCAGGCTGTTCTTCTATTAGGAGACATGTCACTTCCCACTGTCTCTCTTTTCGTGACGTTAACAGCTATCGATGGTCATTGCCTAGAACTATTATTTCACTATGATGATATTCTCATTATATCATTTCTTCTTCATTTATTATCCAATACTTCTGTAAAGAGAAACTTCCCCTCATCAAATATTTCATTAACCTGAAATAGAGTCCATAGAGGAAAGGCAGATGCATGCTGGATTCTATTTACCAGTTGTTTGTTTGCCTGTTTTAAATGATTTCCTGGCATCCTCCAAAACAGCTCTATTTTCTAAGAAAGCCATCCCATAGAATTCCTGCTTCCATCCCTTTCGCCAGGACATAGTCACAGGAGCTCAACTCACTGCCAGGAGGTCTGGGACCTTCAGCCCTCAACCTGGGCAGCCGGGAGCTCAGAGAATTTCCCTATTACCATGGAGAAGGGGATCCGCGGCCCCCAGGTCCCTCTCCGTTCCCTGTCGGCTCATCCCTGGTTAAGGGCTGAGGCAAGCTCCTGGCACACCAGCTCCCGTCAGAGCGCGTGCACACAACACCTGCGTCCCCGCTCCCGTCCCACCAGCTCCGCCTGCCCCGTGTCCCTGCGCTGTGCAGAGAGTAGAGCTCTCTCCTGCGGACTCACTCTTCCCATGCTCTTGTTACTGCCCCCCTTCCTTCCCCTCCCCCCCCTCCCCCTCCCCTCTCTCTCTCTCTCTCTCTCTCTCTCCCCCCCCCCACTCCTCCTCCCTTCCTTCCCCTTCCTTCTCCTTCCCCTCCTTCCCAGCTCCTTCTCCTTCTGCTCCTATGTTTACTTCTGGGCCCAGTTTCATGTTTCGCCTCTCATTTTCTCAGCCTGTTTAGGGACCACTCCTGTCCTGCTCTGTCCTGAAGGATTTCTTGAGACTCAAGCCCACCTTGACTTTGGCCTGACTCATGGTCATCCCTGGTTATGGGCAGCTGTTCTGGGATCCCTCCTTATTTTCTCATGGTTATGCCCTGACTCCCCAGTGTCAGTGCCCCACTGTGCCTCTTCCCGTGCGAGGAGGCTGCATCTGGAACTCTGGCCACGTTTAGCACAGAGGCTGTTGTGACTCCAGTCACGGAGGGGCATTTACTGAAGTCCAGCTGGTTTGCACAGATTTTCAAAGCTGGGTCTACCTGATGCCAGCCCAACCTGGAGAGGAGCAGAAATTCTGTGGTCTGTCTTGGAAAATTGTTCATGTCTACATGGCTGATGTGCTGAATTTGCTTCCATTTGTTGAATAAAATGCAATGGTGGTCATCACCCAGATCTAATATGGGGCTCTTAGAGGAGTAGCTCTCGAAACAGATGCGTCTGGGCCCCAGAAACATGAAGCTCTGTAGAACCCCCTCTGCCGGGTGGCCAAGGTGGAGGCAAAAGAGAGTGAGGAATCCCCGTGTGAGTCAAGGTCCAAGGGGACAATGCTGTTTCTACCTTAGAGGGTCATGTTTCTCCAGTTTGGATCAGGAATTACAGATTGACCTTCACCTTCCATTGTTTAAATATATCTTCCCACTAAGCCTGCAAACTTGCTCTAGGTCTTGACTTTGGCAGGGGGCAGGAAGCACACATAAAGAAAAAACCCCAATGAATGAAATATTTCCACAAATCTTCCTATTCTCAGGAATCTGCTTTATTGTACTTCCGTGGACATTAACTAATGGGAAGAAGGTGGAAAACAGTCATCCTGGCATGATGGAGAACCAGTGGGAAGTAGCAGCAATACTAGGCTATGTGCCAGGAAATAGGGATTCTTGTTCTAACTTAGCCAGGAATGGCGGTGCCCTTGTTCATGACCCCAATTCTGAGCCTCAGTTTCCTTACCCATAAGACAAAGAGATGGGTAAAACAATAATCATATTTCATTCTTGGGGATACACTATATGCCCTGTTTTAATGCTTCCAGAATCTTCCATACTCTTTTCAGACTCCACAGTTATCTTCGCATTTGATACTGAGTATCACAATACACCTTTAAGGTACTGACAGGGGTTATTATTATTCCCATTACACAGATGGTTGCACTGAGGCTGAGGAATAGTAAACTCCCAAGCTTTCGTTGGTAATGAAACCCCTCCTCCTAATCCAGAATAGTTCCTTCTAAGCAGGAGGCTCATGCCTGTGCCTGAATGTGGGCATATTGGTGAATGTGGGCATCTGTCTGTTATGTTCCTCCGCTGTGTGAGTAAGAAGGGTGCGATTAGTAGTTGGACTCATGATTTCCCTGGGTTTACAGGGAACTCATTGATGTTTGCTTTTGTCGGATGGATGTTCCATGTTATGGTATAATTTACACTGAATGCTTTAACTAGGCGATCATAAATAGTAACAGGAGGGCCAGGGGTAGTAGGCAAGGAGAGATGGACCATTAAAGGGGCAAGAATTCAGAGGTGAATTGTTGGCACTATTGTATGTACTCTGTAAGTACGACTTCACTTGGTCTTCACATTAATTCTATGAGGAAGGTTGCTATAATCATGCCCATTTTACAGATATTGAAACCAAGACCTAGAGAAGTTAAGCAACTCGTCCAAGCTAGTAAGTGGCCGAGCCAGAATGTGAAGCCAGGCAATCTGGTTTCAGAGTTTATAGCCTAACCACTCCGTTGTCAAGGTCAGATTGGGTAGTCATATAAGCCTTTGTGAGCTGCTCTGGTATAAATTCAGATACAAAAAAAAAAAAAAAAAAAAAGAGAGAGAGAGAGAGAGAATGCCCCACTCAAAGCTACAGGGTTGCAGGGAAAGTGGCACACCATATTTTGCTGATAGTATTGACAATGAGTTTCATCTTTTTGTGAGCAATATGTGGCAAGACCCATAAAGTTTCTCCATATTTGTCAATTTAAGAATGCCAACCCTAGGGTCTCCTGGGTGGCTCAGTTGGTTAAGTGGCTTACTCTTGATTTCCGCCCAGGTCATGATCTCAGGGTCCTGGGATGCCCCCCCCCCCCAATCAGGCTCAGCAGGGAGTCTGAGGATTCTCTCTTTTCCTCTCCCTCTGCCCCTGCTTGTGTGCGTGCTCGCTCTCTCTCTCAAATAAATGAATAAATAAATCTTACAAAAAAGAGTGCCAACCCTAGAAGTTTGTTCTAAGCTTACAGCTCAACAAAAGCAGCAAGCTATAGGCATGAAGCTTATTGTGTGATATCCAGTAATGCAGCAAGTGCAATGCCCAAGAATAGAGCATGATTAAGTAATTTCATAGAACCTTCACTAGCTGGAATACTATGAAAACATTTAAAATGAAAATTATGAAGGTAATTGTGTAGAAGGATGGGGAACTGTCTCTGATAAAATGTTAAGATTAAAACACAGAATAAAAAATATGTAGATTTCGATGACCAATCTGGTCTCTATGCATATTGGCAAAGCCTGAAATAGAACACGAAATACTTCTAGTAGCTAGGTGTTTGTTAAGGTCTTCTTATTTTTTAGGATTTTTATTAGTGGTGACATTATGTTTATCTGACAGATCATGAAAACAGGAAAGAGCTGGTGGCAGAAGCTTGTTGAAATGACCCTCAAGAGGTGGGGTGGGTCTGGTGGGCAGTCCCCCCCGCCCTGACTTCACCCCAGAGTTCTCTGGGGGCAGCCGCAGGTGTCTGGGTGGAAAGAGGTCTGAGAGTTAACGTGTGCTTGGGACGGAGAGAACAGTGTGCCCTGGGTCTGCCTCACCTCGCTCTTGCCGTTCTTTGTCTCAGCTTAGAAGCCACTTTTCTGCGGTCAACCCAGTTGCCACCCCCCACCCCCAAATGGGCTGGGTGCCCCTCCTAGGTGTCCCCTTCCCCAGCACGCTATGCTAAGCTCCATGTCTGCACCTAGCAGGCTTTTGGGTGATGGCATTTATATTGCTGAGGCCCCTCTGCACTACAGGGGTTGGGATGTCAGGGGGCTGGCCCTGCATGGCCCCCTTAATGCCCTGACACAAATGCCTCATGTATTCAATGAATGATCATCTTTTGCCTTGTCTCTAAAATGGGGGGAGCCTGGGTTGTATTAGATTCCTTTTAGCTCATATGCTGTGATTTTACTATCTAATTTTTATCAGACTCATTAAATAAAGGAGCCACCGGGTTTAAAGACACGTCCCAATGTCAGAAGTGTCCTCCATCTTTCCACCTGTGGATGGGCTCCCCAAGCGGACTCTGGCCTGGGTGTGGACTATGAGCGTGGTCTGGGGTCACGCTGGGAATTTTCATAGCACGTGGGCTGAGTGTGCCTGGACACAGCCTTAGCAGTCCACCTGACAACAGGGCTGTGGGGAGTGGGGGGATGCTCTTCACTTCAGTCCTGCCTGTACCTGGCAGACCAGCCACAGGCCACATGTGACGCGGCGGCTCTACCTCCACTGTGAATCCTAGGAGCCTGCTAGCCCTGATGTCATGTGTGCCTTCGGGGCTGAGGAAGTGGGCGTGTCTGTGCACATGGCTGCTTGTGCCCCTGTCAGAGCAGGGCGGAGGGAGGGTGACCAAGTGGCTCTGGGTTTTCTGGGTGAGTGTGTCTCTGTATGGAATCAGTGCACATTACTTCAGTGTATGAGTGGATTTCGATTCAGCAAATAATTATTGTGAGCTTTGTGCTCTGCAAAAGCAACAAAGCGTTGCCACGGGCAGGGAGCCTGGGAGTGTACATATCTGCATTGTGTGTCCCCTCTGTGTGTCTTTGGGAATGTGTTCTTGGCACGTGTCCTGCCTTCACAAGGCTTTTGGTGTGTGCATGTCTGTGTGTCAGTGCCTGGATCCTGTGTGCGGCTGCTCGCTCGCTTTCCACCTTCACTTGTGCCCGCAGTCAGGCTCTGCACGTGCGCCATTCCCCATGCGCACGTCCCCGAGTGACCTGTGCGCGGTGTGCAAGGACCTCCGGGTCGTGTGCACTTGGTGCGCTCGTGCCAGTCTCTCCGCACGCACGAACGCACCTCCACATGTCTGGGTGCACGTCCCCCTCAGTGTGTGCACGTTCCGTGTGCACGCCAACCGTGTCTGTGTGCGGGGCACTTCACGCGCGCGCTCGGGCCTGCGGGCGGCCAGGGACCCGCGCCAGGCTCCACACGCCCCGCGGGGCTGACCTCCTCCCCACCCCCGCGCCGGGCCGCGGGCCTCCGCGATTGGCCGCCCGCGCCCTCGCAGCCGTCACCCCTCCCTCCCCGCCCCCCCCCGCCACCCGCGCGCCCGCGGTCCCCGCTGTCCCCCGCGGTTCCGGCGAGGCCGCGCCGCGCTGCGCTCCGCTCCCATTGGCTGCGCGCGCCTTTGTGTGGCGGCAGCTGCGGCCCCAGCGCCTTTGAATGTCGAGAGGGGCCGGGAAGGGAGCCTTTCCATGGGCCATCTGTCTCCCCGCCAGCCGCCGCCCCACCGCCGCCCGCGCCCCGCGCTCCGCCTCCCGCCCCGGCGGCTCCCGCAGCCGCGCCGCCGCCCGCGCCCGCGCCCCGGAGCCGCGCCACAAAGGGCCCGCGCGCAGCCGCCGCCGCCGCGCGAGGAGCCAGGATGGTCCTGGTCCACGTCGGCTATCTCGTGCTTCCAGTGTTTGGCTCTGTGCGAAACAGAGGTATCGCTTTTTCCTTTCGGGGTCCGCTTCGGAGCGTGGATCGCCGCAGGCACCGGGGCGGGGGCGGGCGCCGCGGGCGGCGGGGGGCTCAGGGCACACCCGTGGGGACGCAGGACGAGGGGTGGCTTCTCCCCTCTCCCTTTTGGGGGACCCCCCAGTGTGGGGGTGGCCGCCCTCGTGGGAGCTTTTGTAGTGAAGTTAGCGTTTGGCGAATTTGGGTCCCTCCCTCCCCAGCCCCATTTTTTATTCTTTGCGGCGGACGCGGTTCCCCCAAATCACAGCCCCTTCCCCTAATACCTAGCCCTGTATGATCGAAAGAAGGAGAGAGATACATGACTGTGTGCGTGCGCGCGCGTGTGTGTATGTGTGTGCAAGCGTACTTGGCTCTCTGTTATTTGGTTTTTTTGAGGCATATGTATGTTTTGTGTTATTTGTGTTTGTATTCCTTCATCTTTTGGTTATCGCTACCGCTGGCTGGTTAGCTGGGATCTGGTATCTGCCCTATCCCGTGCCCCAGCCCCCACCCTCTGGTGGCCACTTGCACGATTTCCCGTCCGGTCCCATCGTTTTCTCCCCTTTAACCCTGTTTTGTATCGCCCTTGTGCTACCTCCCTTCCCCCCCCATTGTCTTTGTATGACAGTTGCATTTATGGATTCAAAATGCTTGGGTGTGTGTATGTGAGCGCGTGTGTCAGGGTGTGTGCGCCTCGGAGTCAGACGTGCACTGCTGTGCACCCCTGGTCCCGGCCGGAGCGGGGTGCCCGGCCCTCGGGTGTTGCGCTGTGTGTGCGGATGAGGTGCGAAGCTGCCCCCACGCCGGGCCTTTGCCCTGGGCAGGCGTTGACAAAGCAGCAGGCCGGCGCCGGCTTTGTTTTTAACTGTGATACATGGGGTGTGTTTGCACGGTCCCCCTTCCCCACATCCCCTTTCCCTTACATTCTGCTCCAACAATAGCTTGGTTTCCCCCTCTCCTCCCCCCCCCACATTTCTTCCATTTTCTTTTAATCAAAAATTCCCACCTCCCAAAGCGAATCCGAGATGCATTTAGATTCATTTTTTTTTTTTTTCTTTTTGTATTCTGCCTCTGGACTCACATTTCTCTTCTTGGAAATGTTTCTGTTACCCTCTCCCACTCCAAGTCTGCTTAAATCCCTGCTGGCTGAGGCCCTCCCCCACTCCCCCCTCCCTCACGCACAGAATGATGTCTTCCCTTTGCGACCAGGGCTGCTCCTTCGAGTCAGAGCAGGGGGTGGGGTCGCGGGGCGAGCGCTTTAGTGCGCCCCAGGGGCCCGATTGGGCAAGAAAATGAAAGCCCGGCCCTCTTTCTTCCAGCCCAGCTGTCCCCAGCCCCACGCCTCTCCCCAGAACCTAAAAGGCAAGGTTGGCCCCCTTAGGCCTGTTTGAACCGCAGTTTTTTTGTGTGATGATAGAATGATGACATTCTGCATTTATCAAATCTTTTTTTTTTCTTCATTGTGTAGCTCAGTGAATGGTCAACTCGCTGCTGTGTGCGCTGTGACCCTTCTGCCTCCGCATTTAGCTGTATTGTGACACCCCTCTTAACCATCTCCTGTCTCCATCTGAGGAAAGCATTGCTATTTAAGCGGCAGTATCCCTATCTCAGGCCGGCCTAGCGGTGGAGGGGGTGTGTATGGAGTAGGTCGGGGCGGGGGCGGGTGAGCGCTCCCTGGAAATGTCAACCCCCTCCCCCAATACACAATTATGTCTTCTTACTTGGCATTTCCTCTTAAAACGGGTGTGGAACATTACACTAGGCAGAAATTCAAAAATGATTAAGAAGGATGTTGAGCCTGAAAGTATAATTATCCTGATTAAATCATTATCATCCTCATTAATACCACAGATCTCTAAATACCATTGCAGGATGCCGATTTTACGTTTTGAAATTCAAATTGCTCAGCTGCCTTTAAATTTCATTTTTAATATGCTCCCCCCCCAACAAGGTCCCCTCCCCGCCCCCCCCAATAAATTCTGCCCCTCAGTCAAAGTTTACTTTCATGGCAAACACGCCCACAGGAAATTCAAGGGCTGAGGGTGAGTTGGGCTGTGGGTAAAATTTAGCACCATGAGATAAGAATTCATGACCTTTCGATAGAGGATACTAATGCTTAACCCAACAAGGTCCTACACCACAATCTTCTTGTAAAACTATTAGATAGCTTGCCAGCTTAAGTCTGTTCTTTTTAGTTTCCATTGTAGTAGTATAGGATGTAGGCCATTTCAGGATAGATGTAGAGAAATAACCATTTTTGTATCTTCATCTTGTTTAGCTGAGTACATTGCACTGTAAATCCCTGTTAAGTGGATTCCTTTTGCCTTGGCTTGGAGGCTCTGGCACCCCATTTCCCACTTACCTGGGTGCCCGTCAGCTAGCTTCTTGGCAGCACCCAGGCATAAGTGAAGAGAGTACATTTAGTCGGAGGCAAAAAATAATAAGCATATGTATATATGTATATGAAAATCTTGAATGAAATGATGGTTGCTGTTACCCCATAGCCTCTGAAAATTTGGTGCAGCAAGGTCCCTGGCTTAAGGGGGAGCCATGGCCATGGTGTCTTAATTGTTTAATTGTACGATGTCAAGAGCATCTTTGGACATCCGCCCTGGCCCTCAGAGCTGCCCCTTTAACAGCCGGCTCCCTTCTGCTGCCTCACCAGCCGGACCTGCTGGAAAACTGCAACAAAACGACCGCAGTAATGTAAGAATAAGGCCCCTACTGCGAGGGTCCTTCCAAAAGAAAGTCCCAAGTGGCTGCCCCAGATTGCCAAATGGCAATCTGAAAAGAAAGAGCAAAAAAAAAAAAAAAAAAAAAAAAAGAAGAAGAAGAAAGAATCCCCAGCAAAATGGTTTTCCATTAAACAGGGATAGTGTGTTCTGCTGTGCTGAATTACTTCCTGTTCTTATTTTGTGGGTAATTTTTTCTGTATCAAATATCCTTTTGGTTGTGTATCTTTTTCACCTTTTCTTGTACTAAAACTAAAGCATGATCTGTATTTTTTTACATCCCCCAGTTGACAATGTACAGCGCTCGGTTAGAGATGTCACCCTGCTGAAACGTACTGTGGTCGTGTAGCCCGGGCCATCTGCTCATTGTACGCTGCTTTTGTTCTGTTGCTCCTTCCGAAGCATGGTGGGCCCAGCCTTTTTTTTTGGTATCGTGTGCATGATGACATTGTTACACACAGAATCCACTAATACTAATATACA